ATACTGATGTGGAGGCAAACCATGATAATGATTTTTTTTTTGAATTAATCTGTAATATTGATTCAGATTATTCTTAGAAAAATTCATTTTCATTATTTCAAAACATTTGTAGACGATATCGTGATATTATGTAGCTAAATTACAAATTGAGTTAGATATTTGAGGAGAATAGATAAAATTAAGAGCAAAGTAAAATAAAGTTGGTGGACAGATTGTTACAAAAAGATGATAGAGACCACAGAGTATGCTATAAAAGATACAAAGTATGATTAAAAATCATTTATCTGGAAAACGGAATCGAGTTATTATCAAAAGAGTGTGATAGAGAACTTAGTAGTTTTGTACTATAGAAAAAAAAAATAATGTATGATACAATAAATATCATTTATTTTTGACAAAAGAAGATTAATAAACATCACGATATTAATAAATGTTATTAACCAATCATATTTTTTTCTGTAATTTTACGAAAATGGATAATTGATAAACATCACGAAATTAACCAATCATATTTTTTTGTAATTTTAAAAAATGGATAATTGATAAACATCACTGAATTAATCAATCATCTTTTTTTGTCGAATTTTTTACAAAAAACTGTTGTGATTTAATTCAATGGAAGATTTGAATTGTCGACTCCACTGATGAATCATCATCACCACTACTAAATTTTCTTGCTGAGTTTTTAAAATTAAGTTTCTTGTTAAATTCGAAGTATTTTTTTAAATTAGGTTATTTAGGATTAAAAATTGAGTTTTGGTTTATTAATAGTGCGTTCGATATTAGGCATTTTCAACGTCGTCAGCTTACATGCTTGTTTTTGCTTGCTTGAACATTCTGGAGACAACATAAATCAATTTGTCATGCCTTTTTTATCTCCAGAGTTGTTATTAATGTTTTTATTATATGGTTGAAATTTTATAGCATTCTTATATTTTTCATTAGAGCCAGCAAGTCCATTTATTATCTTTCTAAACACTTCCTCTTTTACAAGGATCACTTTGGTGCTTCTAAATTAAAGATACCATAAATTACTGTGCAAGGGACCCCTCGTAATATACCTTTTGATTTGTGCTGGGTATGTTTCAAGGTTATTTGTTGTAGTGGTTTGTAAGAGACCCGGGGTATAAATCAATGTAATATCAGGATACCTTGCACAGTAATATTGACATTATCCAAGGAAATGGTCGCTAAATACAATAGTTTATTGAAGGTAATAGTGCCAACCTGTCCTCCAGTTGCTTCCCAAATATGATTGACTGAATTCCTCATAATTTCTTTAATACTTTCTATAATATTCTTTAATATCACAGTAGCCAAAGACGTTGTTTTTTAAGGTAAAATGTGTTTACAAATACGGGTATTGCTAGGAAAGCTTGTAAATTTCTAAAAATATGTATATGTAATGATATCATTGTAAATTTTTCTTTGACAATATAACAATTTTCGTGAAAAAATGAATTTACTACACATTTCTTAATAATTTAAACTTAGATTTGAACTTGGTCAAAAATGTAGTTGATCTTTAGTTCATTATTGACAGTCTCAATAATTTGAAGGATCTAACTGGTGTCGAGTTACTTTGATTAAAAATTTAACGATAGTGATCTCAACTGATGCAACTTGATAGATATGTTGATTAATATTCTTCTCGTGTACTAAATCAAGATCAATAAATGAGGTACAGATTAATAAAAGTTTCTTAGACTTGCTTTTCAGTATATTGAGATTACATCTGCACATAACCTTGCTTTGAAATCATTTGGCCATTTTTAGAGATGTTATCTTATTATTCTTATAGTGATTCTCTTTTGAATTAACTTGTAATATTGATTCAGATTATTCTTCGAAAGTTCATTTTCATTATTTCAAAATTTTTGAGAGATTATATAATGAAAATCTTTGTCTCTAAGATCAAAAAATAATTGTGAATATTTTAAGAGTACATTTTTATAACATGTCGAACTTTGCGCATTTAGCATTAGTAGATTAAATAATTTTTAATATTGATACTTAACAGTTTAATCATAAGACTTTATTTCAGCATCTATAGATGCTGAAATACTATACTGTATATTTAATCTTGTGGCTTTAATAGATAAATTTTAATATCGATACTTAATAGTTTAATCATATGACTTATTTCAGCATCCGTCGAAGCTAAAATACTATAACGTATATTTAACTTGTAATGAAATGTAGCTGATTGCATCAGATCCAGATTAATAGATTGTAACTATTTGATAGTTAAAATAATAAATATCATCAATTATATGACTTTAATTTATAAATACGATCGAAATGTGAAATATTAATTTATTTTTTCTCTTTTGAAGAGAGCTTTTTTCGAATAATTTAAAATAATGAACTATTATAAGCCAAATATATGCAGCAAATGTAAAAAAAAAACATTATTTCAGGAGTTGTATGGAAAACGAATGTAAAAAATGTCATGAAATGAACACATTAAAATAGGCTGTCAAAAAAAGTACAAAATTATATGTGCCAATGCAGCAAAGAAGAAATCGAAGAGAAGAGACAATACTATCATAGTAAAAGAAGAACAAGTCATTGCTGCGTTGCAAAGTAAGGAACTTGAGCAGAATCGCGACGTGTAAAGTATGCTACCGCGAAAATAATCCGCGAAGAGTAGAATATTTCACCACTGGAAGGAAAGGGCACTAGTAAGTTGCCAAGTGTGCAAAAAAGAAAAGCCAAGACATAATATGTATAACTTAGAATCTGATCATTGGTAAACTCGAGCATATGTATGCATGGAAAGCAAGTGAAGATGTAAAATATGATAAAAATTATGATCTGAGGACAAGGATATTACATTATACTGAAAAGAGTGCATGAAGCCAGTACAATATCCTTAACCTTTTTTCTTTGGCTCTTTCAATAATTTTCAAAGCATATTCAAATTTGCTAAATAAATAATTAATTTAAAGGGGCTTGCTGATATGTTTTTAGAATTTTGATTCATGAGATAAAATGTTTGTAATAATATTAAAACCATTGCAAGAAACAATTAATTTCAGCTAAAATTAAAGTTTTAAATCACTTCAGCGGCTTGTATCAAATTGACATAAAGTAAAAACATTATACTTTTTAAATGTAATTTCAAAAAATTTTTAATTAATAAAAACCTTTACAAAATCAACACCAATATACAAAACTTTTAAAAATTTCTGGTACTAAATAAAATAGTTTAAGTTAGTATTTAATCTTTACATTTAAAAAATATTATTTTAATTTGCTATAACACTTATATATCAATATGCACTACAAAGTGAATTCATAAAGATTTAAGCAATAAGGAAAACCTTTAATACATGAATTATTTGAATGAAATAAACTTTAAATACTCTCTTCTAATTTTTTTAAACTTTCATCTGATAGTTTATAACAATCCATATTATCTGTTGGCTCTTTTTCTTCAATTTTTTTAATAAAGTCGGGCCATTCTTTCTTTGACATGCGTTTCAGTTTAAGAGGGTCAATAGCCTCACTATGATAAATGACTGACCATCTCAATCTTTGAACAAGTATCAATGAACACCTGGCTGCAACCATTTCATTTTTGATTATTGCTGGTTTACCTTTATAGTAAATAGATGATTCTTCTAATATTTTATTCACGTGGCTTGCAATTCCTTCGCCTTGGGAAAATTCACGATTCCAGTTATTTGCTTCTGGGTTTATTTCATTCCTTCTTTCACCAGTCTCTTGATCAGTAACAATAAAAGAGGCTAGAATAACAAATTGACCTGATTTCTTTAGCTCCCTTATTGTTTTCATTAGTTTAAATAATATATATATCAATTCGCATAAGGCATGGATGTATGTGACTCTTGAATGGTGGAAATTTGCTTTGCTATTAGCTATTTTTTTCCAAATATTTTTGACTTGACTTTCGATATTAATGTTATCCTCTTCCTCTACGATTTCGATGGGTATTGGTAAAGATTCTAAAAATTCAGTCCACCTGTTAAATATTTCTTTAAAAATTTCGATTTTTGGTACATCATTACGAATTGTTATTGCACTGGGTCTCCAATTAAGACATCTGCATAATTTTTTGTTTCATTTGCCTACATTTTGAGTTCTATTAATGTTGGATATAAGTTAATTTTTTCATTATAAATTCTTACCTGATCAGGCTTTAGTAAATAAATATGTGTATATTTTAGATGACGAATATAAGAAAAGTTGTTATTATGTTAAAGAATTCATACTTGTGAAGTTTGACTGTCTTCATTTGACATATTATCTTCATGGTCAGTTGAACCTTCGAATAGATTAACTGAGTGCAGTGAAAGTGAACTTTGAGAATTATCATGTTGTGAGAATGATTCCTTTTTTTGATTTTAGCAATCGGCTGTTAATTTTTTATTAAATTCATAGAAATTCGATTATAGATTCTTACCTGAGTGTTAATATCAGGTTGAATTACTGAAACATTCTCTATTTCATCTGTTCGCTTTTAAGAAATAATGATCATCTTGTTAAATTTTTTAAGATCTGTCAAAATTCAATTATAGATTCTTACCTGAGTATAAATATCCGCCAATTCTTCCTTTTGCTTTTAAGAAATAAAAATATGAATGATATAGGTCAATAAAATTAAAATTTCACACTAGGATTTTATTTATCTAATACTAACGCGTTCATTGTCTACAGTCGGAAACTTAATTCTCTCCACCCTATTATCAATTGAGTCATTGGCATGCTCGGTTGTTTCATTAACATTTTCTATTTTTTTTTTTTTTAGAAATAAATTATATATATGATATACTGAGAAAATACAATAAAACTTGACATGATACCCAAAGTATCCAATGATGTCTTGCGTCTTTTGCTACGGTTCGATTTCGTTTTCTTTGAAGATTTCCTTACATATTGGCTGTCTTCGTCGTCAGAATCCAAAGCATCCCGTTTCTTACTTTTTTTATCACTTTTCAATTCTTTTTTATTTTTATTAAAAATTTGATTGTCAATGTAATCTGTGCTTGAATAATCAGGCATTTTATGCTTCGATTCCATTAAATTTACAGTTTTACACTCATTACAATACCATTCTCCAGCAGGTATTCTTTCGAGTGGAGGCGTTAAGGGAGCTGACATTTAAGAGCTCAATATAGCCCCCCTGGGAATTGTCAATTGACCACTCCCAATACCCCAAGAGTCAGTCATTTGACACATATAAAAAACCTATTAATTGACTATC